GAGAGAGAGGTTGAAGAGACAAGGTTTTATCGAAGAGCGTGGAATTATTTAAACGTGCGTTGGATTAAGATGTATCGCAAATGACTTGGTTCGATGATCCAGTGAGAGATGGGAAGAGGAACGATAAAAAATAAAAGAGATCGAGAAAGATAGTGACTGTGCATCCCTCGTGGATTCGTGGAAACGCTTTTCAATGCAAACACTATTCCCTCTTTTGTACCTCTAATATCCAAGATCAAATTTCTTTCATTCGTGCATCCATCATACGAAAATCCTACCACAGTAGTAGTGAAATTAGGTGTAAGGATAGGGGTGGTTTATCGATCAATTGTTTCCTCTTTCGAAAAAAAAAAAAAAAAAAAGAGTATCTTTAAAATAATTTAATCTTCAGTTCAATTAAAATTTTCGTAATATAAAATTTTTATCCAAAAAAGGAAAGAATAATTTACCGAGAGTACTTTTTTTTTTTCAAGTTAAATCGTGTTTACAGTTGTTCGAAGAGTATTTTAACGACACAGTCCATTTAAATTGAAACTACTTTAATTTATCGCATCAAGGAACGAAAGTAAATGGCCGTTTGACGATTAAATCGGGGAAGACGGATTTCGTAAATACGTTAACAGACATTTTCGCCGCAAGCGGCCGGACTATATACTCTATTACGAAATTCTGGGATTATAACTTGAGCTCTAACCTGGTTTCGGTTCTCGTACCGTTCCCTTCATCGTCCATAGCATCCCAATAAACCTGGTTAACCCTGTTTCCGTTATCTTCACCACGCTCTTCGACCCTTTTATTATTATTTCTATTACCGTCCCTATATAATCTTCCGTTATGCTCGCCGAGTATATCGTAATGATGTTTCATTGTGGAGAACAATTGTCAAGATTTTGTACAATGCAACATGGTAAAAATAGGAAAAATGGCGAGAAGCGATTTCCTAGAATCGAAACGAAACGTTTTTAACGTTGTTTCTTTAATTATAAAACGATCGAGAATGACCGAAGTATATAATGAAGTTTAATGTACAATGAAACTCGATCGAAAGCGTATATAAAAATCGCGAAAACTTTGAACCGCTATAACTCCGAAGCTATTAACTTTGAAACAACGGGTGAACGATCGTTGGAAACGTGGAATCTTACCCTTTAAAACGCTTTTTCATTTATCCCGATACGACATCCGGTTCCCGAGATATCCTCGTGTAAAGAGAAAGCTAATTTTTAATCGTTTCCTTGTCGCTTTTGCTCTCGCCTCGTCTCGCTTATCTATCCCCAAACGCGATTCCTGGAAGAAATAATACGCATTTCCAAGAAAGAATATAGGTCACTAGGCCTATTCGTAATCTCTAAACTGTCCTTAACCATTACTTTGAAACTTTGAAACCTTATATCTCCATAACCGTTGGAGATATCGGGATGGAACAAAAATAGACTTCAATGGCACGGTTTCTTGTATATTCTGAGCGATGGATTTTCGTTGATAAAATGTTGAGTTCTCTCTCATGATTTTCCCATCGAAAATCGAAAATTGTGCGAATTGTGCAATGGTCTGTTGTTATATAGTATAGAGAGGTGTCATTATATTTATAGTAGCAGTATTTAACTTTCCATTATTAAAGTATGTACACGTGTTACATAAACGGATGCGGATCTCTCGGTGAAATGGTGATTTTCGCTTAAGTTATCGGCACGATCGGTGCCGTATCATTTCCTGGTATTCGCAGCATCCGGTGGACGGAATTTGCTTTGTGCCCGTTCTTGTTTACAGTCTCGTACAAATTGGCCGTAGCTGCGGTCGATGTTCATACAGATCCGCCCCGTTTATATCGGTTAGACCGATTTGCTTTAAATAGCGGCCCATTCGATTCAAAACTCGATTAGGATTGGAAAAAAATTCGATCGATGATTATCTGTCCTTCGTTAAATTGCAATTCTATGAGATGATATCTCTTTCGTCGTTGGAATGAAATGAAATGACGTGCGTTGGAAATTTGAAAAAATTATTTCGATGACGGCTTTGGAAGAATAAATTTTTTGGAATTCGGGAGGGAGGGTAAATATTATAATCTTGGCAATTATTTTTTTCTTTTATTTCATTTTAGAAGTAGAAAGTTATGAAACTTTTGCAATTATAACAAAATTACGACGAATTTTGATTTTCGTGATTAAAAAATAAGGAAGAATTTTCATAAGATTTATGAAAAATTGTTAAACGGATGGTTTTAAGATTTAAAAATTTTTGGGAATATAAAGAATGGAAAGTATTTTAGATTTACATCGATATTTTGGATAAACTCGAGCAATTCTGAGATTATTAATTTATCGTGGCAACATGGACGAAAGATCGAACGTACGGTTGACATATCGAATCGTGTATTTTGCACGGATGAATATCATCCAACATATATATTCGTCCCTATGCAAACGTTTCAAGGGTTTTCTCAACGTTTCGATAACGTTCAACGAAACGTAGGAAACGCGAAATACACGTATGCGGGTTTTTATGGAATCGTAACCGTAATGTTTTCGCATTTTTCGCGACGCTCGTGTCTCCATTTGTTTTCGTTGCCATTTAAACGGAAATAAAGGAAACTTGAATAAATATTTTCCTATAGAACGAATATTTTAATCCAGCTTGCCATCTCTCTTTCCCTTTTCATAAGATAAATTATTGAGGAATTTCGAATAATTCGCTTGATCTTTTAAATTCATAATTGTAAAGAATTGTAATAACAATTCTAATACGATATATATATTCGATATAAACATTCTGGCATTCATCAATCCCTATTATTTCGAAATATCATTCATTTTTTTGACATCCTCAAACTTTTTATTTAAAACTATATATTTCATCACAAGATGATCATTATTCTATAAAAACAAAAAGAGATTGCAATGCTTAATTAATAATAGAGACAAAAAGAAATAGAAGAATTTTAACTAACAAAGAAATATAACGTCCCTTCAAATTATCCAAATTCTAGTTTAGTTCATTGCATAAACTTATGAAAGAAGGCAGTGTGAAATTCTTTCAAGAAAGAAAAAGAATTACATTAAAATATACATCTCTATCTCGAGTACCATCGATCTCCAGTTTGACGAGTTTCTCAAAAGCCGTGCCGCCCTTTTATACTTTTCAACCACCGCGACAACACGCGAAAATGATGCTTTTATAAAATTCGTAAATAAAAGGGGGGTGGTTATAAATTCACGCGGGGAGATAGGGCAAAAGATAAGCGAGACGATGAAGGGGAGGGTGGTAAATAGTTGCAACGTGAAATGAATGATAAGGGTGGATGGAGGGATAAGCGTGCTTAACACGGAGGAATGCGGTCGGTGGTAAATGGCGGTGACTGGCGTTGATTCATGGCGCATTGAAAGCACCCCCTCCCCCTCCCCTCTCGATGCTGCTCATCGAGAATGCTCGGCTATAATTGCCGGCCGCACTTCAACCTTTTCATTACTTCACAGCTCGTCACGGGTCTCCATTCGTCACGTTTGATCTCGTATCAAACGTATCAAATCGTGGAAAAGATATGTATCAGGTTTTCCTGAATTTTTTTCACGCGTTTCACGATTTACTCACGGAGTGCTGATTTAAATCAGCGGTTTTATCATCGGGATGGAAGTTTTGAAGCAACGCTGTGGATTCAATTGATCGTTTAAGAACTTTGGAAATATTTTATTTTCTCTCTTTTTACAATATTAATTTTCAATTTCGAATGATACCTTTTGAATTAATTTTGACAGTTTTCTTCGTTATTTTTAGACAAAATTAAATTTTGCATTTGCAGATCCTCTGTTTTAAAATTGTAGATAAAAAAGAATTGATCTTGTCGAATTGTGTCTTGTTTGAAATCATAGAATTTCTACTTGAAACATTTTTTTTTCTTTTTTAGTGAAAGCCATTAAACTAATCGAAGTTACTTGTTCCAGGTTATGAGCAGGAAAGAATAGGAAAAATTTCTACGCGAAAATATGACGGAAAACGCGAGCAAGATGTTGTCTTATTTTGATTTTCATTCCGACATTCGATGTTTCGTCGATGTCGAAGATGAATCGAAACTTCGGCATAGCAGTGGAAGAAACTTTGTCGTGAAAATGGGTTCCCATACGATAGATTTTTTTTTTTACGATGTATATCTTTCTTGTCGAATAGGTAAGACGAGACGTCGAAAAGTGAGATCTTTCGGCACGCAAGTAGGTCAAAGAACCCGAGTCAGGCCTCGAATGTACATGGTTGGCTACGAATGGAGAGCTTCTGTGGCCATTCTCGGGGAAATTCCATCAGACACACGAAATCCTCGGCTCAAGACGCTCCCAGGAACTCGACTTTGTCGTTAAATTCCGCCTCTTTGAAGCTGGCATGGTTAGACATTCTTTTTTCCTTTTTCTCTCTTTCCTGTTTTTTATATTACAAGTTTTAATTAAATTATACAATCTTTCGACTGGGATGATGAATTAAATTTAATTTTATATAATGTTTCATTAATTGGAGAAGAAAATAATGCGATATGTATTGACTTTTTAAATACATATAATTCGTAAATAATTTTAAAATTCTCCTTTACCAAGAAATATATTCGCGAACAATTTTGCAGAAATTAGATAAATTTATATTACATACAGAAAGAAAGTAATAACACATTTTTTGGCCATTTTTTTTTCTTCCAAAATTTCTTCGTTTCATCCTCGAAAATTAACAATTAATCC